CTGCAGGCTGGATTGTGTGAGGAGCTCACAAATCCTTGAAAGATCTGGGCAAGGTTCCATCGGTGAGCTCCTCCAGCAGGCAAGGCTGCGTTGGCTGGGTCATGTAGCCCGCAAGCCCAGCCACCGCATGCCGAAACAGCTTTTGTTCGGCCGGATCGAGGGGGCTAAACGGGCGCGGTATGGGCTAGAGAAGAGATGGAGTGACGTGGTACAGGAGGACGTGGAGCTGAGTGGACTTGCCGATGACCGGTACCAGCGGTGTCAAGATCGGCCTCTGTGGAGGAGGCTCGTGAAGGACGCTACTGGGCAGTTGGAGGTAGTCGCCCTCCAACAACAACGGAGGGTGGAGGAGCGACGCTCACAACAACGAGCGGAGCGCCGGGTGGCTAAAGCACAGCAGGTTGGCACAGTAGGGGGCACAGGTGTTGCACCAGCCAGTCATCTCAGTCAGTCGACCCGTGGCACCTGGGTCTGCCCCGTGACCTCCTGCCCGCGGGCGTTCGACACTTCACATGGCCTCAAGGCGCACATAGCCTGGCACAAGCGTCGTGGTGACGTCACCGCCACTTAGTGGTGAATGGAAGTTGTTGTGTTGTGTGATTGCGTGTGTGAGTGAGGAGGTGATTGCGTGTGTGTGTGAGGAGGTGAGTGTGTGTGTATGTGAGGAGGTGAGTGTGTGTGTGTGAGGAAGTGTGTATGAGTGAGGAGGTGATTGCGTGTGTGTGTGAGGAGGTGAGTATGTGTGTGTGAGGAGGTGAGTATGTGTGTGTGAGGAAGTAAGTGTGTGTGAGTGAGGAGGTGATGGCCAGGTACGATTCTGAAATAATAGAGTTTGCGACATGGCAGTAACTCAGTGGGGGCTTACCGAGTAAATAAGTAATATTTAAAAAATACTTTTTTAAAAAACACGCTTTTAATGAAATGTACCGTATTAGTAATGTCAGAACTCCACGACTCCAGGAAATGGCCCCGAAGCTTGCCATAACGTAAGGGGACCGTGGCCAATCACAGGCAACGTCAGTTGAGCGCGGACAATTAAACCCAGGCCGAAACATAACGTAAAAAAGAATGTTTAACAAGTATGTTTATTTGTTTATGATAGAATATAGTATTAAATTTCGATTTAAAGCTTTCGTGACTGCAATGATTCATCTTCTTTGGTTCTTTTGGTAAAGTCACGTAGAATGAAAATAAAATAATAAATTGATAAAATAAAATAACACAATAATATTCTCACGTCGTTTCGGCCACAACACAAGCGGCCTTCATCAGGTGAAGGGACGAGACTGTCTGGTAGGACAGCGCTGGAGTGAAAGAGCCACGTTCAGATCACGACCTTTAAGCTGTGTGAGAGGAAACAAAGCGCCTTGACAAAGGAATTGGCATATAATTTAGCATTGAAATGGCTGAATGATTAGCTTGTGACTGGTCACAGAAATAGTTATGTTAAAAGTTAAAGCATACACATCTGCAGAGGCACCCCTTGATAAATGAATTAGCATAGAATTTAGCATTTAAATATTATTATTTAATTCTCATTCTACGTGACTTTACCGAAAGAACCAAAGAAGATGAATGTAGTATTGTCATCGGTATGACATAAGTATACCAAGTTTGCAGTCGATACCACATTTGGAAGTGGGTTACAATTGAGTTACACGATTTGAGGATACAACAACGGACAACAACAGACAGTGAGTTAAATGAAACCGAATAAGATAAAAACTAGTGAGATAGTATCCAGAGAGTGTCGTGGCTGCTAAATACTTCCACGTGGTGATGATGCCACGTGGTGATGATGATGCCACGTGGTTGAGCTATCACTTGTGAGAGCCTGGTTGGCTTCTGGGAAATAGAGCGATTACTTAGCAGCAGCAGCTCAGGGGGCATTACCTGGTTACATATAATCTAGTGATATAGTATCTAGAGTGTTTTAGCTGCTATATAAATGTCCACGTGATGATGATGATGCCACGTGGTGGAGCTATCACTTGTGAGAGCCTGGTTGCCTTCTGGAAAATAAAGCGATTACTTAGCAGCAGCTCAGGGGGCCTTACCTGGTTACATATAATCTAGTGAGATAGTATCTAGAGTGTTTTAGCTGCTATATAAATGTCCACATGATGATGATGCCACGTGGTTGAGCTATCACTTGTGATAGCCTGGTTAGGCTTCTGGAAAGAAAGTCTCCTACATAGCAGCAGCTCCTTTTAGGGCTTTCTTACAACCTAGTTAAAATAACAAAAATAGTTTATAGTTTTTTTCTCTCCCCCCTCTGTCTCTTTGTTTTTAAAGAGTGATTGAGTTTTGTGGCGAATGTCCCGAGCCCCGCCCAGCGTGGCTGGCAGCTACTGTCCGCTGTGCGCCACGAGAGGGCGCCAATGTATACATTCTGAACTATTTTTAGTTTCATTTTATTTTCTTTCTCTGTGACTTTACCGAAAGAACCAAAGAATATAAACTATTTATTTTATTTTACCAGGTAAGGCTCCACACTCGTTCGTTCTTTCGGTAAAGTCACGGAGGTGGGAAAAATAAAGTAATAAATAAAAATAGAACCATAGAGTGTGGATCCTTGCAGTCACGAAAACATTAAATCTGGAATGAACCAGGTAAGGCCCACATACTCGGAGACCCACAAATATCCAGAGACTCGAATACAACCACAGAGACACACAGAGAACCACAGAGACCCATAGAGACCCATACTCATAGAGACCCATTTTACTCATAGTTCCAGAGACTCGAATACAACCACAGAGACCCATAGAGACCCATATAGACCCATACTCAGAGACCCATTTTGCTCATAGTTGCAGAGACTCGAATACAACCACAGAGACCCATAGTCATAGAGACCCATTTGACTAGCAGAGATCCAGAGACTCAAATACAACCACAGACACACAGAGGCCCATACTCATAGAGACCCATACCATAACTAAGCTATTTGATTTACCAGGTAAGGACCCCCTGGGCTCTGTAGCTGTTTTTGTCACAAGCTACGTGGCTCTCACAAATGGTAGCCCAGCGAAGTGGGCTTCTCACGTGGACTAAACGCGAAGTTCATTTCATAGTTCATAGTTTCATTTATTTGGTATAGCCCTGTGAGCCATTCGGCTGTTGTGGGCTTCTCACGTGAACTAAACGTGAAGTGACCTTCTCACGTGAACTAAACGTGAAGTGGGCTTCTCACGTGAACTAAACGTGAAGTGACCTTCTCACGTGAACTAAACGTGAAGTGAGCTTCTCACGTGAACTCAACGTGAAGTGACCTTCTCACGTGAACTAAACGTGAAGTGGACTTCTCACGTGAACTTAACGTGAAGTGGGCTTCTCACGTGAACTAAACGTGAAGTGGACTTCTCACGTGAACTAAACGTGAAGTGAGCTTCTCACGTGAACTAAACGTGAAGTGAGCTTCTCACGTGAACTAAACGTGAAGTGAGCTTCTCACGTGAACTAAACGTGAAGTGGGCTTCTCACGTGAACTAAACGTGAAGTGGGCTTCTCACGTGAACTAAACGTGAAGTGAGCTTCTCACGTGAACTAAACGTGAAGTGAGCTTCTCACGTGAACTAAACGTGAAGTGAGCTTCTCACGTGAACTAAACGTGAAGTGGGCTTCTCACGTGAACTAAACGTGAAGTGAACTTCTCACGTTAACTAAACGTGAAGTGACCTTCTCACGTGGACTAAACGTGAAGTGACCTTCTCAGGTGAACTAAACGTGAAGTGGGATTCTCACGTGAACTAAACGTGAAGTGGACTTCTCACGTGAACTAAACGTGAAGTGAGCTTCTCACGTGAACTAAACGTGAAGTGACCTTCTCACGTGAACTAAACGTGAAGTGGACTCCACACGTGGACTAAACGTGAAGTGGGATTCTCACGTGAACTAAACGCGAGTTTCGAAATGTGGAGGGCGAAAAAAACGGAGGACCCCGAGAAAAATTCCTCGCGGCCACGGGGAGAGGGAGAGACGCAGACTCCAAATATACAGCAGCAGCAGGATTGAACCCACGACCTCCTGCGTACCAGGCGAGGTAGTTAACATCTCCTAGCCACCTCGGCGGAGTTGACACAGCTGGGCCGTCTGGTATCATTTGTCATTTGAACACGTGACGGGGAGTAGCGGCAGGCTTCCTCGATCCAATGTCATCCATAAGAGGTTTTGTTCGGGGGGGGGGGAGGGTGGCGTCAGTGTCAATGTGAGTCGTTAAACCCATGACCACCACCACACGACACGGCCAATCGGTAAGGAGGTTTGTGTCGCGCGTAAACAAAACGCGGCCAATTTAGTTACTAGATCAGCACTAACTGGCTGTGTGTTGGAGAGTAAATCCAATGTCCCCGTGTCTCCCTATCCCCGTGTCTCATGTCCCCGTGTCCCCTGTATCGCCTGTCTCCGTGTCTCCGTGTCTCGTGTCCCCTGTCTCCGTGTCTCCGTGTCTCCGTGTCTCCGTGTCTCGAGTCCCCTGTATCGCCTGTCTCCGTGTCTCGTGTCCCCTGTATCGCCTGTCCCCGTGTCTCATGTCCCCTGTCTCCGTGTCTCATGTCCCTGTGTCCCCTGTATCGCCTGTCCCCGTGTCTCATGTCCCCTGTCTCCGTGTCTCATGTCCCTGTGTCCCCTGTATCGCCTGTCCCCGTGTCTCATGTCCCCTGTCTCCGTGTCTCATGTCCCTGTGTCTCCTGTATCGCCTGTCCCCGTGTCTCGTGTCCCCTGTCTCCGTGTCTCATGTCCCTGTGTCCCCTGTATCGCCTGTCCCCGTGTCTCTTGTCCCCGTGTCCCCTGTATCGCCTGTCCCCGTGTCTCGTGTCCCCTGTATCGCCTGTCTCCGTGTCTCGTGTCCCCGTGTCTCGTTTCCCTGTATCGCCTGTCTCCGTGTCCCCTGTCTCCGTGTCTCGTGTCCCCTGTCTCCGTGTCCCCTGTCTCCGTGTCTCTGTCCCCGTGTCCCCTGCGTCTCACGTCCCCCCCCCCCCCTCCGTGTCTCCTCGCAGAATGCTGCCTTTCTCTACGGCCTTGGTCTCGTCTACTTCCACTACAACGCGTTCCACTGGTAAGCGTGCGTGCACCTAGCCTGGCGCGGAGCGCCGCCGCCGCCGTGATGTTGTCGCTGTCGAAACGGGTTTGCGAGTTTTCGAGTTTGTTTGGCATTTGCGCATCATCATCATCATGTGACGGTGGCTAGGAGATGTTGACTACCTCGCCCGGTACGCAGGAGGTCGTGGGTTCCATCCCGACCCTGACGATGCCTGCTGCTGCTGTATATTTGGAGTCTGCGTCTCTCTTTCTCATAATCACGGTGGCTAAGAGATGTTGACTACCTCGCCTGGCACGCAAGAGGTCGTGGGTTCGATCCCGACCCCTGACGCCTGCTGCCCCTGCTGTGTATTTGGAGTTTTCCCGTCTCCCTCCCTCCCTCTTCCCCTCGTGGCCGCGTGGATTTTCTCTCTGGGTCCTCCGTTTCTTTTCCTCCACATTCAGAATCAACGTCGTGCATTTCCCACACCTCCGATTAGCACGGTTGGCTACGTACGGTGTAAAATAAGTTCAACACACACACACACAGCACGGTTGGCTACGTACTGTGTAGAAGTTCAACACACACACAGCACGGTTGGCTATGTACTGTGTAGAAGGTCAACACACACACAACACGGTTGGCTACGTACTGTGTAGAAGTTCAACACACACACAGCACGGTTGGCTATGTACTGTGTAGAAGTTCAACACACACACAGCACGGTTGGCTACGTACTGTGTAGAAGTTCAACACACACACAGCATGGTTGGCTACGTACTGTGTAGAAGTTCAACACACACACAACACGGTTGGCTACGTACTGTGTAGAAGTTCAACACACACACAGCATGGTTGGCTACGTACGGTGTAAAATAAGTTCAACACACACACAGCACGGTTGGCTACGTACTGTGTAGAAGTTCAACACACACACAGCACGGTTGGCTACGTACTGTGTAGAAGTTCAACACACACACAGCACGGTTGGCTACGTACGGTGTAGAAGTTCAACACACACAGCACGGTTGGCTACATACTGTGTAGAAGTTCAACACACACACAGCATGGTTGGCTACGTACTGTGTAGAAGGTCAACACACACACAGCATGGTTGGCTACGTACTGTGTAGAAGGTCAACACACACACAACACGGTTGGCTACGTACTGTGTAGAAGGTCAACACACACACAACACGGTTGGCTACGTACTGTGTAGAAGTTCAACACACACACACAACACGGTTGGCTACGTACTGTGTAGAAGGTCAACACACACACAGCATGGTTGGCTTCGTACTGTGTAGAAGTTCAACACACACACAGCACGGTTGGCTACGTACTGTGTAGAAGTTCAACACACACACAGCACGGTTGGCTACGTACTGTGTAGAAGTTCAACACACACACAGCAAGGTTGGCTACGTACTGTGTAGAAGTTCAACACACACACAACACGGTTGGCTACGTACTGTGTAGAAGTTCAACACACACACAACACGGTTGGCTACGTACTGTGTAGAAGTTCAACACACACACAGCACGGTTGGCTACGTACTGTGTAGAAGTTCAACACACACACACAACACGGTTGGCTACGTACTGTGTAGAAGTTCAACACACACACAGCATGGTTGGCTACGTACTGTGTAGAAGTTCAACACACAGCACGGTTGGCTACGTACTGTGTAGAAGTTCAACACACACACAGCATGGTTGGCTACGTACTGTGTAGAAGTTCAACACACACACAGCATGGTTGGCTACGTACTGTGTAGAAGTTCAACACACACACATCACGGTTGGCTACGTACTGTGTAGAAGTTCAACACACACACAGCACGGTTGGCTACGTACTGTGTAGAAGTTCAACACACAGCACGGTTGGCTATGTACTGTGTAGAAGTTCAACACACACACAACACGGTTGGCTACGTACTGTGTAGAAGTTCAACACACACACAACACGGTTGGCTACGTACGGTGTAGAAGGTCAACACACACACAGCATGGTTGGCTACGTACTGTGTAGAAGGTCAACACACACACAGCACGGTTGGCTACGTACGGTGTAGAAGTTCAACACGTACTGTGTAAAATAAGTTCAACACACACACCACTGTTGACTACGTACGTTGCGAAAGAAGTTCAACACACACACACACGGGGTATTTGACCCGCCGATATACATTCCCACGTGGTGATGAAGATGTGCCACGTGGTTGAGCACCTATGGTTGGTGATGGCCAGGTCAGGGACTCTGAACGAGAGCGACTGGCACGGCAACTCGGTGGGGGGCATCAACGCCTGGCACGTGTGAAATAACATCAAGTAGCGGAATAGTACTCGCAGAAAGAAAACACTGCTGAGGCAGTCTTGCCTGTGGTTGTACCGAAAGAACCAGGAAGTATGTAGAGTGTTTGTGGATGCTGCCACTCTACATTTCCACATGATGATGATGATGATGGAGCCACCACGTGGTTGAGCTTGCTATCGTTGTTGATGGCTAGGGATGTCCGCTGCTCGACAAGAATTCACGTGGGGCCTTTTAACGGCCCTTCCTTTTACACCTGGTGAAATAAATACAAAAGTTGGCATAGTTAGTTGGCGGTCTTTTAGCCCCCTTCCAACGAGGTGAGCGGTTTTGAGGGTGCACCTGCAGTGGTGAATGTGCGGTCAGGGTGCGTGTGTGTGTGTGCGGTAGTAAACATCGCCAGCACTGGGGGGAGACAAAGGCGGCCGGGCGTCGTCCACCAACCCCCTCGCATCTGTGCTGCGTTACAGCACTTGCCCCAACAGTCTGTTGAGAGGCTACACGGGGGACCTTTGTCTTGTGTGTGTGTGTGCAATTGTGTTGACTTGGCCTGTCCACTCCGAGGTCGACTCGGCCTCAAATGAGTACCTGGTGTAGCGGTGAGTAGTGAACATCGCTAGCACTGGGGAGACAAAGGCGGCCGGGCGTGGTGCTGGCCACCCACCCCCTCTGTGTGTGCCACAGTGCCGGTAGCCTTCACAGCTGCTGCTGCTGCTCGCTAACGGCAACCACGAACACAAACGAAAGACAAAGATCCCCCGTGTAGGCTTAACAGGCTGTAGGGGCAAGTGCTGTTAGCGAGCAGCACCTGTGAAGGCTACCGGCACTGTGGCACACGAGGGGGTGGTTGGCCAGCACCACGCCCGGCCGCCTTTGTCTCCCCAGTGCCAGCGATGTTCGCTACACGCCGCTACACCAGGTACTCGTTTGAGGTCGAGTCGACCTAGGGGAGGTCCAGGACCGGTTCAGATAATCGTCACCGGTGGTGTTGGTGGCCGTGAGCGGGAATGGAACTCGGGTCGCCGGGTTCGTAGCGCAGCGTAGCGCTAACCGCTGCACCACCGCTCCCCACACACGTACATACACACACACGTACACACACGTACACACACGTAAATCCCCACCACCCTACCCTCTACCCCGCCCTATCCTCGACACACCCACTCCCCACTCACACCCACCCACACACACAACCACACACACACACAACCAAAACCACACACACAACCCACACATAACCCACCCACATACAACCCACACAACACAAACCCAACCCACCCACACACGACCCACACACACCCACACACACACCCACACACACACCCACACAATCCACCCACACACAACACCCACACACAACACCCACATACACAACCAACACCCACACACACAACCAACACCCACACACACAACACCCAACCCACCCACCCACACACACGACCCACTCACACGCCCACACACACGACCCACCCACTCACACACACACACACACAATCCACCCACACACAACACCCACACAACCAACACCCACACACACAACCAACACCCACACACACAACACCAACCCACCCACTCACTCACACACGACCCACTCACACACACGACCCACACACACACATGACCCACTCACACACATGACCCACTCACACACCCACACACAACACAAACCCCACCCACTCACACACCCACACACTCACACACCCACCCACTCACACACCCACACACCCACTCACACACCCACCCACTCACACACCCACCCACTCACACACCCACCCACTCACACACCCACCCACTCACACACCCACCCACACACCCACTCACACACCCACCCACTCACACACCCACACACTCACACACCCACACACTCACACACCCACACACTCACACACCCACCCACTCACACACCCACCCACTCACACACCCACCCACTCACACACCCACCCACTCACACGACCCACTCACACACCCACTCACACACCCACCCACTCACACACCCACCCACTCACACACCCACCCACTCACACACCCACCCACTCACACTCACACACACTCACCCACCCACTCACACACCCACCCACTCACACACCCACCCACTCACACACCCACCCACTCACACACCCACACACTCACACACCCACACACTCACACACCCACACCCACACACTCACACACCCACCCACTCACACACCCACTCACACACCCACTCACTCACACACCCACCCACTCACACACCCACCCACTCACACACACTCACACACACTCACCCACCCACTCACACACCCACCCACTCACACACCCACCCACTCACACACCCACCCACTCACACACCCACCCACTCACACACCCACACACTCACACACCCACACACTCACACACCCACCCACTCACACACACTCACACACACCCACCCACTCACACACCCACACACTCACACACCCACACACCCACACACTCACACACCCACACACTCACACACCCACACACTCACACACCCACATACTCACACACCCACACACTCACACACACACTCACTCACACACCCACACACTCACACACTCACACACCCACCCACTCACACACCCACCCACTCACACACCCACCCACTCACACACCCACACACTCACACACCCACTCACACACCCACCCACTCACACACACTCACACACTCACACACCCACTCACCCACACACCCACTCACACACCCACCCACTCACACACCCAC